TACCAGTGATGCAGCCTCCCTAACTGTTCAATGAGGGTCAGTTTTGGTTCATCCATCCAGTGCCTAGGTCCTCTCTCCCTCTGAGATCATTGTGAAATAAATCCTATCACATCAATTTACCTGTGAACACTGAAGCAGATATCTCTGAAAAATGAGGATCCTGGAAAAATAGCTGCAATGCCAACCTCTTCCCTTAAAAGTGTCAGACCCCTGCCCAGGCGGAAGAGAAAAACACTTCCCAGGCAACGCCACTGCACATCCTGTAAGGCGGGAAAGAACGGGAAGCCAAGGCCCACGTTGGAGATAAAAGCCCATTCTATACAGCAACACCTGCGGGCCCAGATACCCCTGGAGACCACCAGACTTCCTTCACCCCAGAACAAAACTTCCTCCACTCCCAGACAAAAATTTCCCCCTCTTCCTGGTACTACTTCTCCCCTATCCAACCTCCCCTATAAAGTTTCCCCCTGCCCAAGCCCCTGAAGTCAATGGTCTTGTTGCCCTTGGCTCACCTGCGCCTAAGCTGGAAATGAAACCTCACTCGTTGCCTCATTTTTGCCTCTCTGGTAGGCTCCACTGTGCCTCAGGTTACCCTAACAAAAAGATTAATGATCCTTTATTTAATATTCACTATCCGGTCCACATGTCTCTGATTGCCTCATAGAAGTTTTCAAATAAAGTTATTTGTTTGAGTTGCTATTGAAGTAAGATTGTTTCCAGCAGATTTAAATGGGAGTGGAGGAAGTCTTTTATTCTGGGGCACGGGAAGTCTGGCAGTCTCCAGGGGTATCAGACCTGATCGGCTGACATGGCCCAGAGGTCTCGGATGCCCCCGGACTATCACAGCCACTGAACTCCGGGTAAATCTTTCAGTGGAAGGTAAAATTACTTCATTTCTGATCAATACAGGGGCGACCCATCCTCCCTCTCTTCGTTTTCAGGACAGCTAACTTTAGCCTCAGCTGCCCCTGTGGGAACTGATGGGACTGGCTCTAGGCCTCTCAAAACCCCTCCGCTCTTGTGCCGACTGGGAAACGAAATGTTTCCTCATTCATTGCTAGCCATTCCCACCGGCCCGATCTGCTCCTCCGACGAGATGTTTTAACAAAACTCTCTGCCAGCCTCAGTGTTCCAGGCTCCCCTCCCCACCCTTCTCACACCTACTGCTAGGCCCTTTCCCTACCCTGTATCTTCTCCCTCCTCCACCCCCACATCTGGGACATCTCAACTCCCTCTGGTGGTCAGCATCACCTGCTTTTCCACGTGCCCCTGAAAAAGGACCACTCCATCCTGCTCAGCACCAATACTCTACCTGATCCAGCCCTCCGCGAACCAAAACCCACCATTACTTGCCTTCTCAAACATAACTGCCCGGTTCCCGCTAACTCCACATTTGACACCCACTTCCTCTCTGTCCGTAAGTTGGATCAATTATACTGCTTAGTACGAGATCTCTGAGCCATCAACCAGATTGTCCTCTCCATTCATCCTAAAATCCCAAACCCATATATGCTCTTCTCCTCTATTCCCTCAACCACCACCCATTACTCAGCCCTCAACCTAAAAGACGCTTTCTTTACCACCCCCTACACCCTGACTCATAGCCCCTTTTTGCTTTCACACGGACAGACCCAGAAAACTCTTAACAAACCCTATTTAAGGACAAATCCAGGCCATAATAACCAGACAACTCTTGCGAACCTCTCGCTACACCGCCCTATAAGACCCTATCCCTGACCCCTGAAAAAAGATTTTTTAATTAACTAACTGAACCAATACCTCCCCTGCCTTTCCTGCCCCTCTTTCTCTGATAAGATGTCCTTGCGATCCACCTGGCCATGCTTGAAGCAGCCATGAGAAGAAACTATGCCCAATCTCCCCTTCCCCTTCTCTCTCCTGTTTTCCCCTTTCTTCTATAACAGAAAGACAAGAATTCTGCCCAGGCCAAAGAGAAAAAAACTTCTCAGGCAATGCCATTACACAACCTGCAAGGTGCAAAAGATAACAGGAAGTCTAGGCCCAGGTTGGAGATAAACAGCTCTCCCCACACAACAACACCTGTGGGTCTAGATATCCCTGGAGACCACCAGACTTCCTCTGAACAAAGACTTCCTTTACTTCAAGACAAAAAATTTCCGCTTCTCAAGGTGCTACTTCTCCGCTACCCAAACTCCCCTATAAAGTTTCCCCTTGCCCAAGCCCCCAGAGTAAGTGGCCTTGCCGTCCTTGACTCACCTGCACCCAGGTTGGCAATGAAACCTCACTCGTTGCTTCATTTTTACCTGCTCTGGTCGGCTCAGTTGTGCCCCAGTTTATCCTAACAAAAAGATTAACAATCAATATCATTCATTATCCATTCCATGTCTCTGATGGCCTCACAGATATTTTAAAATAAGTTATTTGTTTGAGTTGCTATCAAACTACGATTATTTTTAGCAGATTTAAATAGGTTCTTTAATATGAATTCTTTAGAAGTGAGTGCACATTTGACTAGTTTAAATCTGAAATACATCAGATTAAGAATTAGAAACGTCTCAGATGAACAAATCCAATCTCAGACATGCTTACTCTGATTTGAGCACTGCACAATGTATATGTATATTGAAATATCACACCGTGCCCCTAAATCTGTACCACTTTTATGTGTTGCTATACTAGTGTGTGTTAGTTTTTTGGTGCAGTCACAAAATACCCAAGATAGACAACATAAAAGAGGAAAGACTCATTTTTGTTTGTTTGTTTGCTTCGTTTGGTATCGGGGATTGAACTCGGGACCTTGCCCTTGTGAGGCAGGTGGTAGAACCACTGAGTGAAATCCCCAGCCCAGGAAAGATTCATTTTGGTTCAAGTTTCCAGTTTCGTGGGTGGGTGGCTCCATAGCTGCATGTGGCAGGGTAGGAGATGGTGGTGAAGGACATTAGGGGCGAAGCTGCTCACCTCAAGGCAGCTCCTCTTGCTTTTTTTCCTCTTGGACCCCACCCTGATGGATGGTGCCACCCACATTCGGGGCTGATCTCCTCACCCTCACAGACACACCTACTTGTGTGCCTCACCCACGCCCCAGTGTAATCAAGTTGACAATCAAGATGAACCATCACATTTGCAGTTGAAGCGTCCCCAAAGATCAATGTAGTAAGAGGGCAGCACGGCCAAGTGGAAAAGATTTCCAGGCCTGTGGCCTAGTGAGAAGCTTCTGGTCTTTGGGAATGGCCTGCCAGAAGGATCACAGGAGCCTGGCCTATCACACACTCTGCCATGATGTATGGCAACAAGCCATGGACTGAGACCTTCAAAACCATGAGACACACTAAACCTCTTCTCTTTTTATGCTTATTTATCTTAGCTGTTTATTACAGTATCAGAAAGCTGACTAGCACATGCATCCGTTTCAAGGATAAAAACATCTGTCTCTATCAGCACACCTATAGGTTTTACATCTGCTGAAAATAAGGCTAATGACCCATGTTTTGGATCAATAACACATTCTATTTTCTATTCATTTTATAAAGTAATGACAAAATCTAATACAATATTCAAACACATAATCATTCCTCTTTTAGACTGTTTTTGTGTATCTATAACAGAATCCCTCTGACTGGATAATGCATCATGTGCAGAAATTCATTTCTCCCAGTTCTGGAGGCTTAGACTTAAATCTAAGGATTTGGGTGTCACTTGTTTACTCAACAAACATTTACTGAATGCCTACAAGGTCCCAACTATGGTGCCACCCATGATCTGCGGCAACCCCTGTGTCTGCTTTGGAGGAGTTTACAGTTTAGTACACGGAGCCAATACTGAGCAACAGCACCTGGTAAGCGCTCAGGCGCTCAGGCTGCTGTTCCAAGGGCACATCATGGGCAGCCTCGGTTACTGGGGGTGCGGAGAATTCTCCCTTGAAGACAGTTCAGTGGGGACCAGAGGCCACCTGCTCAGCTGTCTTCACATCTGCATTCCCACCTGTGGACAAATGGCTGCTCCAGAGCTCAAGCCTCCTCACGTCAAATGAGAGAACTGTTGTGAAAACAAGAGGCAACACAAGTGTGTGAAATTGGCTTTGCACCACTGTAACCAACACACCTGAGAAAATCAACTCAGAGGAGGAAAGGTTTATTTCAGCTCACGGTACTGGAGGGTTCAGTCCAGGGCTGGCCTGCTTCAGGCCTCTGAGGCGGAAACGGCATAGTGGAAGGGTGAGAAGGGGCAGCCAGGAAGCAGCAGGGGAGAAACATCCAGCCAGGAAAGGACCAGGGACCAGATACAGTCCCCAAAGTCAGGACCTCACAACCCACTCCCTCCAACTAGGTCCCACCTCCTACGTCCCCACTGCCTCTCAATAATGCCATCAAGTTGTAAACTCATCCCTGATGACTACTGATGAAGTTAGAGCCCTCTGACCCAGGTGCCTTCTTACAGCCCCACATCTGGACACCATAACAACAGATAGAGCACCTTTCACAGTATCTGGCTTATCGTTTGGTACTCACTTAACATAATTAATATGATTTTATATTAATGTAAGCATCAAAGGGCAACCAAAGAAAAGTTTGGCCAACAGCCAAAGATAAATGCATAGAGAGGAAATTTGGAAAAGGCTCTCAAATTCAAGGGACAGTCGGTTCTGCACACTCACATCCTGTTTCAAATGTCAGAGCGCCGAATATTCTAAGACTCACTGAATACGGCTCTCAGAAGTTGGACAGGAATATTTGAGGGCTGATCTCATTCTAGCTGCAGCTTAGCAACGCTCGGATCAAATTTTTGAAGCCAAAGTGAGATAACCTGAGAAACCTCTCCCTTACACGAGGGACACAGATCTTTGGAGGCTCAAGGGACAGCCAAGGGTTTTAGGGAAGCCGGCCCTGCATTCCTCCCCCACGGCCGGATCCGGCCATCCCTGCTCCCTTTAGACGGGTGCGGCCGGTTTTGTCAGCGAACGCGACGGCCCTGGGCGGGGACCCGAGGAAATGGGAGTGACGAGGGGCGGAGCGGGATGGAGGGAGAAGAAGGCGTGGAGGCGCGGAGAGCGGTGGGAAGGAAGCGCAGCGTGGTGGCAGCCAGGTGACCGCGATGCCACCGCCTCTCCTGCTTCTCCTGCTGCTCCTCCAGCTGCCCGGTCCCGCGCAGGCCGGGGACGAGGTGCCGGTGGACTTGGTCACCGAGCGGCCGCTGCGCTCTGTGAGCCCCGCCTTCCTGTCCTTCACCATCGACGCCAACCTGGCCACCGACCCGCGCTTTCTCGCCTTCTTGGGGTAAGCACCGGCCTCCGGTCCTGTCCTGTGCCCTCTCCTGTGCGCCTCTCTCCTCTGCAGTGAAACAACTCTAGCTCGGGAGTGAATGCTGCTCACACCGATCCCCCTCCAGCCAGCTCCAAGCAGCTTCACCTTTCCTCATTCATTCGGCGCACGTTAGTTACCGTCAGCTAAGCATATTAAGGGGAAATTTGGCAAAGAAACTACTACCTGCCCACCACCTGGTCAGGAGGAGACAACCCAGGCAAGTGCTCCTGCAGGCCGGGAGCTTCGGACTGTGTGTGGGACACACCCAAAGGGCAGGACAAGGAAGCTGGTGGATCAAGTGTCCTCCTTTAAACTATTAGGATGTTTTTTTGTGTTTTTTTTTTTAAACTTAGATGGAAAAGGCATCAAAGGAGAGTAAGTGTTATTTCTCTGAATTCTTTCAGAAATCTACGTTAGGTAAGTGAGACCCAGGAGACTACCACAGTGACTCTCAGAGCCCCAGGAAAAAGCTGTCTCTCCAAAATGAGGCTGCCATGTGTGGCCCCTGCTTTATCAGCTGTGTGGCAGGTGTGTGGCTCCCACTTCTTCTGTCTACACTGAATCCACATGAGGAGCTGCAGGGACAATAGGAGGTCACCCAGGCTGTGAGCCTCCAGGGAGGACCACGGCTGCACAGCCTCTATCTCGCAGTCACTGTTGCTTACTCACAGCAGCCTCACACAGTCAGACCACCCGCCTGACCCCAGCTGTGGCGTGGCGGGGCTGGGCGACTCGCTTTTACAGGTTGCTCAGCCCCCCTTAGCAGAGTGCACTTTCTAGAACCTGCCCCTAGGAGATGTCCAGGGTTTGATGAGGTAATAAATGCTTGGCAGAGTGTCGGACTCAGTGTTTAGAGTTTAGCCTGATTGTTTCTTCCTGGGAAATGATGAATGTTTGACACAATTTGCCACTTTTCTGTTTCTTTTGATCATCATACTACTCTTTCTCTGTGGCAGGAGAATTTCCTGCTGGGCCTTAGGGATAGAAAGCTGCCCTCAGTGGTTGGGGGTTAGAGGAGACCCAAGCTAATCTGGGAGGGTGCCTTCCTGAAAACAGGAATGGAGTAGCTGTCCATTGACTGCAGATGTCAATCCGCATTGACTGTAGATGTCTTTGGCTGCAGGCCACATATGCCTCTGACCCCAGGGAAGACCTAGAGAAGCAGGTGCAAAAGAAACACCTACAGTAAGGCTTTCAGGGTTCAGGCCCCATCACTCTGCAGGCGAGACCACCCCAGTGAACTCACACCCACCCTGAACACACGGACCTTCTAGTCTACAGGGTAGTGAGGATGGTGCCTTCAGTCCCCTAACACATGTCCTCCCATCCAGCCCTTTCCTCTCTCCTGTACCCATGTGTTTGTTAAAGACCACAGGGCACCGAGGAGCCCAGAGAGCAGGGCAGGCAGTAGATATAGGTGTCTCTTGTTTTCCTTTGTTTTGTCTGTTGTGCTTTTCCTTTTGGCTCACGGCCCCTGCGGGCTTCTCTCCAGCACCGGCCCCTGGTCACTTGCAGCCCCTTCCTCTGGGGGACCGTTCTCCACACCTGCTCCCCAGGGCACCCACAAGCTCCCGTCTGCCCTACTCTCATCTAAGACAGAAGAGGCAGGAACTCCCTCCCCTGCTCTAAGACTTTGCTGCAAAATTAGGACAAAGTCCATCTGTCCAGGGTGGCAGCACAGCTGTGGGCTGGCTCAGCCAGCTCAGGAAGCCCCACTGAGCTTCAGGTCTGTCCACCGCGGAGGAGAGTGAGATGGATTTATCTCAGGTCTCCACAAGAGAAGGTGTGCGGGTGGAGACGGCCAGCGCTGAAGCAGTAAGGGCTACGAGGCTCTGTGACGTCATTGGTGCGTGCCTGTGGCGTCATTGGCGCGCGTCCGTTTTGCCGCGGCGTGTTCCGGTTGCTCCCGGGGACGATGCCTAAAGTGGTGTCTCGGTCGGTGGTCTGCTCAGACACCCGGGACCGTGAGGAATATGACGACGGCGAGAAGCCTCTCCACGTCTACTACTGTTTGTGCGGCCAGATGGTCCTGGTTCTGGACTGTCAGCTAGAGAAGTTGCCCATGAGACCCCGGGACAGAGCCCGTGTGATTGATGCTGCCAAACATGCCCACAAGTTTTGTAACACCGAAGACGAGGAGACTGTCTATCTTCGGAGGCCGGAAGGCATCGAACGACAGTACAGGAAGAAGTGTGCAAAGTGCGGGCTCCTGCTGTTCTACCAGTCCCAGCCGAAGAATGCCACCGTGACCTTCATTGTGGATGGAGCAGTGGTGAAGTTTGGCCAGGGTTTTGGGAAAACAAATATTTATACCCAGAAACAAGAGCCTCCCAAGAAGGTGATGATGACCAAACGGACTAAGGACATGGGCAAGTTCAGCTCTGTCACCGTGTCTACCATTGACGAAGAGGAGGAGGAGATTGAGGCTAGAGAAGTCGCTGATTCCTATGCCCAGAATGCCAAAGTGATTGAGAAACAGCTGGAGCGCAAAGGCATGAGCAAGAGACGACTGCAAGAGCTGGCGGAACTAGAAGCCAAGAAAGCGAAAATGAAGGGGACTTTGATTGACAACCAGTTCAAATGAGCAGGACCTCGCTGTGAGCCTGGACCAGAGGCAAGCATTTAGATCGCGAAGAAAAATAATTGCTTGTTTGCGTGGATTCGTTTCTATTTATGCCCCAGGAGGGGGCTCTGTGTTGCTTTCCGTTGATTCGCCTCCATTCAGTAAGGTCTTTGAGTCCGTTTGACCTGCTTTCTATGCAATACATTGTTCCGTATCTTTCTGTATATAGATTTTTCTGTGCCGTTTTTGTTCATTTGATGTAAATTTCCTCAACTGTATAGAAACTATGAATAGATAATGCTTGACTGTCTCTAGCTTCTAAATGGCTGTCATCGTTCTTAAAAGTTAATAAAAAGTTTAAAGATTTAAAAAAAAGAAAATAGCGATGCTTCCTGAGCCTGTGTCTTTTGCCAGGGCCCTGTTCAAAGCTCCTCTCGGTTAGGAATACCTTCAGTCCTGGTTACAACGCTACAGATCGTACGGTTGCACATTTTTAAAATGAAGAAACTGAGGCTCAAGGAGACTAAATAACTTGACCATGATCAGCCAGGCAGTGAATGAAAGCAGAGTCTAGAACCTCAGGGACACTGCTCACAGGGACACTGTACCAAAAAGAAAGCAAAGCAGATTTATTTTTAAAAGGGAACAATAAGGTACATAAGAAAAAAGATCACCTGGAAACAACCTGAGTGACTGATGTAGTGAAAAGAAACCTTGGCGTGAGGGTGGGCGAATCAGAGCTCAAACCTCTGAGGAACACGACAGGAAGCCTAAGCAAATCTAGTCAAACGGCCTGGTTTCACATTTGTTTCCAGAGAACACAGAGTATACAAAATTTAAACGCCAGTGATAGAACAATTTAGAATTGAGGAAGAGCATCTTTTTAATTTTTCTGCCCAAAGGGACTTAACCTATCAAACTACCTCCTTAGGCTGATTTTGTGCAGAACCCCCAGAGGCCCTGGCCCTAGAAATATAAAGCAAAAATAGAAATACAATGTGAGCTTCATATGCTAGGCACATCTGTAATTTAAAAATTTTAAGTAGCCATATTTAAAAAGGTAAAAAGAAATGGGAGACATGTTTTTTTTTTGGGGGGGGTTAATAATTTTACTTAGCTCGGTGGATCCAAGCTATTATCATTTCGACCTGTAATCAATATAAAATATTAACAAGGGGCTGGGGATTTAGCTCAGTGGTGCTACCATCTGCCTTGCAAGCGTAATCCCAAGTTTGATCCCTGGTACCTAAAAATAAATAAATAAATAAATAAATAAATAAATAAATAAATAAATAAATAAATTCATGAGATATTCAGTATTTCTTCTTGCATACCTGGTGTTTGGGTGTCTAGGGTACTAACTGCAGATCAGGAGCTTGGTGGCCTCATGTAGCTGGTGGCTGCCATTCTAGGGAGTGTGGCTGTGCCTTTCCACACACAAATGTACCTCCCTTGTGCAAGGCCAGGCATGGAGTGCAGCCTGGGTGTGGAAAGCATAGCACCACAGTGAGAGTGTGGTTCTGCATAGTAGTAGTGTTAGTAATGCAGTGCTGCAGGCTTTTCATGCTGATTTGCTCAGTTTCTTGAGTAAAGTTTATCTCTTTTGTCAATTTGATAAATATTCATAGTAACATTCAGCAATTAGATTCAACTTTCTTCATTGGCAAAATAGCTTTTCATATTTGGAAGAGCATTTATTATCCACGTGAAGAGGACATTTTCATAACTGCTGTTGGGAGGGCAACAGATCCTCCATGCCCCTGCCGCTGGCAGAACGATGGGTGACAAGAGACTGAGGCCTGAGAATCCCGGGTCTGCTGCCTGGCTGAGCTCTTGATGTTCCCACACCTTCCTCTGTGTCCCCGGAGCCCTTTGCATGGTGACTCTTCTCTGTCCTCTTGGCTGACACGGGGCATGTCTCTGAAGGCACCCTCTTCCCTCGTCTCTCTTCTGAGTACAGGCTGCACATTCTGCCTTGGTCTGGTCTTTTCCTGATTCCTAAGGTGGCTTTGAGATGCTGGCTCACTAGTTTGAATGCAGACTGCTATGGCCCAGCTCCATTTGACTTGTTACCTTGGGCAGGTTCACTTAGTGTTGTCCAGGTCTCTTGTCTGTAAAGTGAGGATCCTAACAACACCCGTCTTGTGGAGCTGTTTTGAGACTAAGGGAAAAGCCATGTAGCATGCATGGAACTCTCTGCTTGGACTCAGTTGATGCTTATTTGAGGTGGTGGTCATAACTCTACCTTGAAGTTCTCATCCAACGCTTTCTGTTCCCCTCTTACTTCTTTTATCACCTCCAAGCCTTGCCATCATTCTAGATGAATTCAAGTCCACTCGAGTGAATACTCTCACCTCAGTTGACAATCTTCACCCAGTCTTGCATGGAGCCGGCTTGCATAAGTTCAGTAGATGAGCGCAGTTTTCCTCCTGCCTCAAGGGACACCACACTGCTACCTTGAAACTGGCCGTGGAGGAGGCGTTTGCAGCATGGAAACTGTCAAACACTAGTACCCAGGCCCCTCTCTCCCGGGAGCTGGCTGGTCAGCACACCGCCTCACTGCACTTTAGCAGGGCCCTGCTGACTCCAAGAGTCAGTCTGGTGAGGAGCTGGTGAGCAGCCTTTTTACCTCTGAAAATTTACATGCAGGCCTCCCACCCTTAGCCCTCAGAGACAAGCGTAAGTTCTTCCCACAATTGTTTTTTGTTTGGTACCTGGGATAGAACTTCGGACCTTGCGCTTGCGAGGCAGGTGGCGGAACCACTGAGCTAAATCCCCGGCCCAGTTGCTTTTTAAAGTACCTCCCCTGACCAGCTTCCGCCTCGCTCTGCTTCTGCATCTGAGTTGGGCCTCTCCATTTATCACCCAAATCCCTCCTGGGATGGTGATACCAAGCCTCTGCCCCATTGTTCCTCCTGCTAAAATTCCGACCCCGATTTAGGCCAACCATCATTTCTCCCTTTGGAACCCACAGGATGGTCCTCAAATCTAGAAATGGAAAATATTACTCAATAGTGCATTTTCATAAACTGCTTCTGCTTTTTGTGTCAGAGATAAGCAACTTACCATTGTCCACAAAAGGTAAAGATGCCGGCAGACTCTTGTTTTTCCATACCAAGCTGTCTGGAACTGGAAAGGCTGCCGCGGCGTTCACTCACTCTTTGAGGTGTGTGATTTTCTTCACGTAACACTTGAGTCGCCCTCAATGTCTAACATCCAATTACTGAGCCTATTATTTCCATGTATAAATATGTCTTGAATTTATCCACCTCTTTCCAGGCTCTTCACACAAAGCAACCGCTGATAGTCAAGAAACAGGTCTTACAAGAAAAAAGGAAGTAAACATGTTTGGCTGAATTGCCTTGGAGAAATGACTAAAGTTCCTTGCTTATCTTCTTAACAGTTCCCCCAGGCTTCGAACTTTGGCCAGAGGTTTGGCTCCTGCATACTTGAGATTTGGTGGCACCAAGACAGACTTTCTAGTTTTTGACCCTAAGAAAGAACCAACCTTGGAAGAGAGGAGTTGCTGGCAATCTCAAGTCAACCAAGGTGACTTCTTAAAGATGATATATTTTAATTTACTTGTGCTCATTGTGAGAATATTTCAGAAATGTGTTATTGTGCACACCTAACAATAAGAGATTAAGGGCTTCACAGTTGAGTGGAGACAGCTATACAAGAAGGAATCTGGGAGCAGTTTCCTCCTCTGATGTTTGCCTCCAAGGCAAGGTGTGCTGGGTGGAACCAAGTGGTGACTGTGCTATATAGAGAGCAGAGTCACAGCCAAGGCAAAACTGATGTAGGAAGCAAGTGGGTAGGATGACATCAAACTCTGGAGTCTTTTTAGCCTAGGACGACATCAAACTCAGGAGTCTTTTTAGCCAAGGGCACACAGAGTGAAGCACATGTATTATGGAGACAGTATCTGGGGAAGGATCTCATGAGGGGGTATGGGGATCACTCTGCTTCTAAGAGTGATTCCAAGACTTGATGGACTGGAAGATGTTTCTTTTTTTTCTCAGTACCAGGGATCGAACTCAGGAACTTACACTTGCCAGGCAGGTGCCTCGCCACTAAGCTAAATCTCTGGCCCCTGCCAGGTGTTTTTCAAACTTCACTGCCTCTCCATATCACCTGGGGAGAGTGTGACCATTTAGTTCTCTGGACTCCAACCAACCTCACTTTTTTTTTTTTTTTATGGTCCAGGGGATTGAATTTAGGTCCTTGTGCTTGTAAGCCGGGTGGTGGCACCACTGAGTCAAATCCCCAGCCCCACAACCTCAAATTTTGACATTGCAAGCTTGTCTGGTGATTCTCATATTGCAGGTCTGGCCCTCCTGAGAATCCACCCTAGGGAGCCAGGAAGATGTGTCCTGTATCATTAAGCAGTGCTGTCAGATATCAAATGGAAGTTAAATCATTTTCTGAACAATTACTAAGTGTATTGTGTGCCTCATTGAATTATAATATAGATATTCATGAGTAGTATTTAATTACTCCATATATCATGTTTATTTTCTTCAGGTAGGATGTATTTAACAGTTATTCAAAGGTTGGGTAGAGAAGTTTCCACAGGAAAAAAAATAGAAAAAGGTAGAACACTTGTCTTTGAACAAATTGGGGTAGTTGCTTAGACATGGGCCTTTCCCACCTGTCAGATGCGTTCCCAAGGCCTCATAAGTTGAGACAGCAGACTGTCCTTGCTCAGCAGCTGTCCAAGCTGGGATTATCCAAGTTCCTCTGAACCGGCCTTTGTGACATGGGGTGGGGCAGCCACAGCATGCAGCTTCCCAGAAAGGAAGTCATCGGCCTCTGGGCTGACCCTGCTGTCTTACAATGAAGAAGCGCAGGCTGCCAGGCAGGATGGCGGTGGTTTCCCAGGGCACATGCTGTGGGCCAGGAAGTTTGCACAGTTCCAAGTCGAAAGGGAGAAAAGTCAGTAACTAACCTGACATAGTGATGCTCTTTTGTAATCCCAGAACTTGGAATGCCAAGGCAGAGGACTTTGAGTTCTAGGCCAGCCTGAACAACATAGCAAGACCTTGTCTCAAACAAAAAACAAGCCAACAAAAAGCTGGATGTAGTGGTGCTTGCATATAATTCCAGTACTCCGAGAGGCTGAGGCAGGAGGATTGCAATTTTGAGCCCAGACTGGGTACCTTGGTGACAGTGAGACCCTGTTTCAAAACGATAGATACATAGATAGATAAATAGACAGACAGGACTAAGGGTATAGCTCAGAGCTAAGGCCCTGGGATCAATCCCCAGTATTACCAAGAAAATGATGTCCTGTCTTCATCACAGCAAGAGGAAATCCCACTAAGCACAGATAGCCTGTGTGTAACAACTGCCTGTGTATTTTGAAAGTAAACCTTAGGAAACCTGAAGCATGTTTCCTTCATTAGGCTCCTGGTAATTTGAAGATTCTGAAGAGCCTTTGGAATTGTTAAATAACCCAAAGTCATGCCTGATATTCTGTATCCAGCGGATGTTTCAATATTTCTTCGCAAACTTTCTCTTTAGCTTTTTCTGATGGTGGTTGCTTAGTCAGCAAATCTGGCATACCTAGTAACGAGATACTTAACCTGCCTTAGTAATGTAATATCTAATCAAATATATGGATAGGATTTCAACTTTATTACTATCGCAACACGTTCTCTAGAGTCTCTCTTCCACTTGCAGATTTTTGCAAATCCAGTTTCCTCCCTTTCAACGTGGAGAAAAGGCTACGGTTGGACTGGCCTTCCCAGGAGAAGCTGCTCCTCAGAGAACAATACCAGAAAAAGTTCAACACCACCACCTACTCAAGTAAGGAACAGCGATCCCTGGCAGGTCTTCCAGCCCCAGCAGTGCTTAGGTGATTTGGACTTGGGCTTGAATTTAATATGCTGCACATCAGTTGTATACACTGTGTGATATTTAAATGCTACCAAGTGTTATTGGGTGGGGCCGGGATATAGCATCGTAGCAGAGCATGCTTGGGGCTCTGGGTTCAAAAGCCAGCACCAAAAAAGAAAAATTAATGGGGAATCTTGAAGCCAAAACTTGTGGCTTTTTCCTTTCTTCTGATTTTATCTACTAGTCAGAGTGAGATATAGAAACCGGTTGCTCATGAACTAAGAATGACTTTTACTGCTCTCAGGAGCTAGAGAGTCAAGGAAAACATGAATATATTCTTCCTGTAAATGTAAACACGAAGGTACGATGGGTAAAATGCGAAGATATTTGCACCTTCTCATCTGTCTCGCTTTCCAGAAGTGACTCCTACAGGTTGGCAATCCTAATCCAAAATTCGAAAATCCTCCAAAATCCAAAAGGGTTTTAGCGTCTGTTTGATTTGGGGTGTTCAACTGGTAAAGTCCATGCAGATATTCCAGAACCCCAACAATGTGGAAATTTGAAGCACTTCTGGTCCCCAGCATTTGAGGTGCAGCACACACAGCCCGTATCATGAGTGATACACACTTTTAGGCTGAGGAAGCTGGGACCTTTCCAGACAGGCTTGGCCACCAAGCCACTATCTCTTTGATTTTCTTGTGGTTTTGCAAACACAGGACTAACTTAAGAAACCCAAAATTTATTTCCATTCACAGCAACAACTTTCTAGTCTTCAAGATAGGATGACACAATCACACAGGACTTTACTGAGAATGAGGCAAATAATGTGTATTTAACTATAAAGTGTATTTTTATCTGAAAGTTGGGATTTTATGATGGTCCTAGAGGTGGGTGACAACCCGCCCAGATTCTCTAGAGGTGTCTTCCTTTGACTTTGTTTAATTAGAGCTAAACTTTCACTATGTAGTTCAGGCTGGCCTTGAATTCACTATGTAGCCAAGGCTGGCCCCAAACTCGTGGGGATCCTCCTGCCTCAGCCTCCTGAGGGCTGGAATTGTTTTGACTTTAAAACATACACATTATTTTGACTTGGTTTAGTCAGTATTTTTTGTAGTGCTTTTGCCCTATAGGACTCCACAGAGATAGCCGTTCCTACACAAGAAAGTTTGTGGCAGCTCCATGGCCAGTTACTATGTGCTTCTCCAGCACATCTCTTTGTGTCCCCGCCTCATGGTTTGGTATTTTTTTGCAGTGTTATCTCTGTCATGGTGATCTGGGATCAGTGCTCTTTTTTCTTTGATGTTCTTGGGTGCTGTGAACCTAAGACTGAATTTAGCTGATAAATGTTGAATGTGGTTCCTCCATCCCACTCCCTCGCCTCAAGCTTCTGAGACAATAGCACTGAAATCAGGCCAATTCATGACTTTACGGTGGCCACAGTGTTTAAGTGAAGAGTCTTGCACCTTTCTTTCAATCAAAGGCTAGGAACATGAGGCTTAGAGAGGATGGTATGTTGAAAGCAGAGGCGTGTGTCAAGCACGGCCTCCCAAGCCAGAGAGTCAGCCAAGTTCTGAATGCAAAGGAAACATTCTTGAAGGAAATTGAAAGTTCCGCCCCAGCGCACACATACGTGATAAGGAGCAGAGCAGCTGTGCTGCTGATGGAGGAGGTCACAGCGGTCTGCAGAGCGGATCGAGTCGGCCACAGCGTCTCCTGAGCAAGAGCCAGACCCTGCTCTCTGCCACTCTGTGGAGGCCTGGAGAGGTGAAGACACTGCAGGGAGGGGTTTGTGTGGAGCAGAGGTTGGTTCCTGAGGTTTGCGGCGTCTCCACCACATCTCCGCGACACAGAAGTGTGGGGAGGCGTGCGAGCGTGATGGAGAAGCTGCAGCAGGTTGTGCAGAAGCTCGAGCTCAGGTAGCCAGTGCGGGAGGCCACATCCGGCCTCAGATTCTCAGGGCAGATGAAGCGGCCTTGGAGGAAGATGCTGCCTCAGGCTTTTGTGTCAGGGAGGAGAAGTCAGTGCCTGGTTCCAGAGCTGCTGCAAGGGACGGGCAGGCTCTCACGGTCGGGGACACAGTGCAGCAGTGACTCTAGGCTGGAGCCAGTGCTTGCTCACCAGTGTGACAGTCCAGTGTGACAGAGAGCGCTGTCACCTCCTCCTGAGCACTAACAGAGCCGGGGGTGGGTGGGGGAGCACCTCTGTTTACAGTGTGGTTCACTGAGCATTTTAAGCTCACTGTTGAGACTTCCTGCTCAACAAAATGCTATTCCCTTCCAAATGCCACCACTGCTGGGGACAGTGTGCCCGGTCACCTGAGAGCACCTCTGGCTTCTGCCGCTGCCCCATGAAGAGCACCCATGACTCAAGGGAAGAGGTGAGTGGGAGCCGCCACCCCTCACGGCTGACAGGGATCAGGACTCCGGCGGAGGATGAGAATCAGGGACGGCAGCTGGAGACGCCACTGAACTGCTCCGATCTCACACCGAAACCTTGACGGCGAGGAGTTGCTTCTTCTGCATGGGGCTGATTTCTTGAGGTGGGATCTACTCCTCATGAGGACGGGTGGACTGCGTTGAAATGACAAGAAAGGATTCAAGGTGTTACGTACACTAAGTGGAAAAAGCAGCAGCAGGACTCATGAGGACTGACTCTTCTTTTTTAATTTTTATTTTCTTTTGGTGCGAGGCATGGAACGCAGGGCCTTGCCCTCGTGAGGCAGGCGCTCTCACTGAGCTGCATGACCAGCCCCAAGTGACCCCGGTTTTGAAAGATTCCTGTCTGGTAAAATGTCATCAAAGAGCAGCATCACACGCTACAGACAAACAGTCGCGTAAGGAGGAACTGACACATGTGCAGACCCCATTGCCTCATTTTAACAAATTGCCACAGCTGCCCAACCTTTAGCAGTTACCACCCTGATGGGTCAGCAGCTGCCAACAGCAAAGCCAACTGGGCATGGTGGCTCATACCTGTAATCAGCACTTGGAAAGCTGAGGCAGGAGGATCTCCTGGCCTACGTCGTGAGTTCACCGCCAGCCTGGACCTGTACAGCATGACCCTGTCTCAAAACAAAAGCAGTCAAAGCCCGCCATCCTTTACCCCAAAGGATTACAGCTTGCTGAAGCCTCGGATCATTGTGAGCATTTTTAGCAATCAAGTACCTTTTAATCAAACTGTGTACATTGTTTAGACATAGTGGTATTGCACACTTAGTAGACCACAGTGTAGGATGAACATAACTTTTACTATGTACTGGGCAACCAAAAAATTTGTGACTCACTTTATTGCAATATTTGTTCCAGTGCAGTGGTTTAGAACCAAAGCTGCACTATCTCCAAGGTGTGCCTGTACGTTATTTAAGGTAAATTATCTGTCCTTGTGAGATTTGTGGCACACTACCTAGATTTCAGTGTAGGAGATGGGTTTTCAGTGTATATGTATTTTTTATAAGGTATAAAAATGTACATTATAAATCAGAAAATAGCTTCTGTGCTAATAGCTCATATAGTTCTCTAAACTATTTTTTTATATTCTTCAGAGGAAAGGAAACTACTCTGACTTTTTTTTTGAACCGCGGATACTCTGATTTTTAAAAATTGAGTTTAATGGTACATTTTAGGTATACGGTACAGTTACATTCATTACTGGGATCTTGTATACTCTGATATTTTAATAAGAATACAGTGGTACCTCAGATCAAGAACTGAATCCTTTCCATGATTCTGGTTGCAAACGTAACTGGAGAAGAACTGAATCAAATTTCCCCATGAGGAGAACATTGAACCTAACTATTGGGTTTGATTCAATTAAATGGTTGCAGTTATATTGTAAATGGGATTTGTCCTAAGATGAGGCCACCTCAGATCACTGTAAAGAGAAGACAAAAAGCCCATGAGTCTCATTTGTACATAAATCACTGGGATATATGCCCACTAGGTGAAGGCCAATCAATGGCTGCCGATTTTGTTTTCTTGGTCACATTAAACACCAATTCAGTTTCACTTTAATTCCTAAAAATAAATAAATAAGTAAATAAATAAATACAAAGTATGCTGAGTCACACGATCTTTCTAACCATGATGGTAGCTTCCAATATCTTTTCTGCTCTTAGAGTTGGACCTTCATTCATAGTTCCTAGGGGAAGGCTTTCCTTGGCTAACTACAGAGCTGGTTTAGTGCAACTCCACCACCGGTTAGCAATGCTAAAATGTACCACAAATCCATGTGCTTCATTTGCATTAGGAAACCTCTGACCTCTGGTGAAATCTCTGTTTTACTTTGCATGGCATGGAAGCATAGACAGAAATATACTGGGTTTAGTCCGGGCGCCTGGTCATCGTAGGGACAAATACCTTAGAAGCCAGTAGGTGTTTCTGCGCACTGTCTGGGGTTGATGATGCTCAGAGACTGAGAGTCATCACACTGGGGAGGAGGCAGCAAAAATCTGGCATGGCAAGGATGTATGTGTTGATTGTGCTGGTAAAAGGGACTCCTAGACTACGTAGGTGAGTTTCCTAACCCAGGTCCTCCTGGGTGGGGTGTTGTACCTCAGCAGGAGATGACAAAACATTAGTCATGAGAAACTGCACTGCAAACCTGTTTAGTCAGGAAAGACATTGTCCGTGAGGATGCGATTCTAGGTGTGACCACAGGAAGGAGGGCTCCCTTATTACACTAATCGTATGTAATGAGCCAGCAGTGCTTTATACCTTTTTTTTTTAATGGTTTGCTAGCAGTTTTCACCTGTGTTGTCTCAATCTTGGTGTCATGGGGCAGGGACAAAGTAACACTGTAGATCCACAGCTGGGAGTCCTGTGGGATAAAGATATATAAAAAATGTTTTTATTAGTACACGTTAGAAGTTTGGGTTTTTTTGTTTTTGTTTTTGTTTTTGTTTTGAGATAGGATCTTGCTATGCAGTTCAGGCTAGCCTTGAACTCACTATGTAGCCCAGGCTGGCCTCAAACTCACAGAGATCCTCCTGCCTCAGCCTCCTGAGTGTCAGGATTACAGACGTGCGCCACCACGCCTGGCTATCATCTTTTATTTTGCTCTTTGTATCTTGGGTTTCTTGTATGAGAAGCCATGCAACATTTAAGCACGTGCATCTGATTTATTTCACTTGACCTTGTGAATGAAGGTATCGCCTCTGACAGTAAGCGGGAGAGCTGGATCTGGGGTTCGGTGTCATAATCCCTGCCTGAGTGTGTCAGCTTCTGTCACTGTGACAATACCTGCGATCGTTAACTTACAGAAAGAAGAGGTTCATTTTGGCTCTGGCTTCAGAAGTTCTGGCCAGGGATCCAGTGGACACATTTTGTTCACCCTCTGTGGGAGCCGGGTGGCAGTGCAGGGAGAGTGTGGCACAGCGAAGCTGTCTGCCTACTGGCCAGGAGCATGACAGAGGGAGGGAGGCCTGGGGTCCCACAGGCCCCTTCAAGGTGACCCGAAGACCTCCGGCCAGGCCCTGCTTAGAGGTCCCACCACCTCGCTGTAACACAGCCTGGGGATCTCTTAGGATCCCAACTGTGGCCTTGCAGTATCATTACTGAAGAGTGCATGTAAAAGGCTCTAGTGATGGCACTGCCACCAAAGAGCTGTGTGGTGCCAGACAGGGCATTTGTCTTGTTCACGTTTCTGTTTCCTTGTGGGCAGAAGAGGGTGGAGGCTTGGAGTGGGTTCAGTGTCCCGAAGGCCCCATGGTGTCACCAGCTGTGACTCTGCGATCCAGCAGAACCTGGAGCTTCCTGGATCCGAATGTCTGTCACTCCTGATGGCTGACAGCAGGTCTGGGGCAGCGGGGGACACAGCAAACATCACAGCACCCTGAGCAGCTCACCAGTGTCTTCCTGCCTGGTTGCCCTTAGCCATTTTAAACCGAGTTTCACGGCAGGATCATCCAAGGGATCCAGGCTGTAGTCTGAGAAGCAAAACAAAAGCAAAACCACATTTGCAGAGAAGAGGATATAGAAGTTTGCCACTTACGTGAGACTAAACTGAGAGAATTTAAGAGCAAATTCCTGTTTAGCAAATAACTCTAAAATATCTGTGCAAATCACAAGTACTTATCATGTATATGATAACTGATCTAAAGACAACACTTAGAATTATATTGTTGCCACTCTCAAAAAATAATTGTAGATGAGCTAATGGTTTAAAAAAGCAGAGTACAGAATTTCCCAGACTCTTATGGCACTTAGTGTCTCCATAATTTTTTTTACAGCATTTCTAGGCTATGGAGAGATGCCCGAGTTTGATTATTAAAGTGCTGGGTTAAAACAACCTAAAGCAGTAGTTTTTGTCCTGTCTAGCAGATGTCTTCCCCTTGCAAATTTAAAAGACTCCTCACTGCCCTGTGAATCAGGGGGACCTGCTTAGATTTGAATTTCAGACAGATAGTAATTTGCTTCTTTTTTAGCAGTAAGTGTTTTCCAACCCTTGCAAAGGACATACACTGAAAATTGTTCATGACATATCTGAAGTTCATATTAAACTAGGTGTCCTGTACTTTTGTTTGCTAAATCCAAAAACCTGTGGTCACTTGAATAAAACTCAAGTGTTGGATCAGAGCTTCTGCAACCTTCCATGGGATCCCCAACAGATAAAGCAGATGAAGTCTGGGATTGTTTTTCCTTTAATTTGCCTGTTCAATTTTGTTGTCACTTAGACACGCTTACAACTCAGTAAGCCTGGAATTCCTTTGATTTAAAAACAGAAATAGTGGGCCGGGGACTTAGCTCAGTGGTTTTACCACCTGCCTTTGCAAGTGCAAGGACCCGAGTTTGATCCCCAGTACCAAAAACAAAACAAAACAAAACAAAACAGAAATAATAACTCACTATAAAGGGCCAACTCAGAGCCTTGCCGGGCTGGTACCCACCTAACACTAAATGTGACGTGTTTCTTGTAGGAAGCTCCGTGGATATGCTGTACTCTTTTGCAAACTGCTCGGGACTGAACTTGATCTTTGGTTTGAATGAGTTGCTGAGAACGGCAGATTCACAGTGGGACAGTTCTAATGCCCAGTTGCTCCTGGACTACTGCTCTTCCAAGGGCTATAACATTTCTTGGGAACTAGGCAATGGTAGGTACCCTGGGGACACTTTGCTAATAAGGAGGTTCCCTGCTGGCATTATTTGCTTCTACTTATGGATTTTCTTTGAATATTAGCAAATATACTTCAGGCTGGGCACATCCTTGAAAGTGCTCAACAGTATAACTTTTGGAACTGCTTATGGGAGAAAACTCCTTAGTATATTCTGGAACCTATTGTTAATCCCTATTTGAGTTATGGTTGAGCTTGGAAAAATTATTGCAGTCAACAACCTCCCAGGTTCCCTTGAGATTCTCAGAGTCTCTTAGACCTATCATGCTTGGCAGGCTGGACTCAGCAAATGTGAACCACACAGTTTTCTTTTACTCTTCTTTTCCTTTCTCTGTTTCTAACTCTCAGTCTATCTCAGCAACCCCTTCCAAGCCTTCATTCTATGCTCAAGATATCCAGAAATTGACAGTGTAGAATCTTGCTTGGGTCAAACTCTTCCCTCACTCTTTTTTGGCAAGGAACTTATAAATTTTAACTACATATTGATGACTTTCCACATTCAAAATATATTTGTAGTACTATATTGGCCAATGAAACAGTATAAAATGGAAAAAAAAAGAGCACATGCTAAACGCCAGTTACTGTTCTAAGCATTAGATGTCTTGACTCTACTCAACCTTTAAAAAAAAAAAAGCAAATTAGGTTACTAAATATAACCAAGTGTGGTGGCACATACTTGTAATCCCAGCACTCTGGGAGGCTGAGGCAGGAAGATCAAAAGTTTGAGTCCAGACTTGGGCTGGGGATTTACCTCAGTGGCACCGTGCCTGCCTCACAAGCACAAGGTCCTGAGTTTGATCCCTGGTGCTGGGGGGGAAAAAAAAAGAAAAAAGTTTGAGTCCAGCCTGGACATCTTAGCAACTTAGTAAGGCTGTGTCTAAAGTGAAAAAAGGGAGGGGTAGAGTTGGAGCTGTAGCCTGCCTCAAAATAAAAAAATTAAAAAAGGATAGGGATATAACTGAATGCAAGAGCCCTGGGTTCAATTCCCAATCTCACAAACAAAATAAAAAACTGAATGTAGACTACTTAAAAAATATATGTTGGTTTAATGTCCTCATTATTAACTTCAAATTGTTTAATACCCCGTCAGCCTTAGTTACATAGTTAAAATTTTAATTTTTCTGGCATATCTTCCTGTAACCAAGGGTTCGACTTTTCTTCACTTTGATTTCTATTATTTTGTGATTTGGAAAATGTTTTGTTGTATTTATATGCTGCCATGTTTGCTTTTATATTAAAAAAAAAGGCTAGGTAAGTGATTAGGATGAGAATTGCTGTCTTTCAGAACCTAACAGTTTCAGGAAGAAGGCTGGTATTTTCATTGATGGATTGCAGTTAGGAAAAGATTTCATTGAGTTGCATAAACTTCTACAAAATTCCTCTTTCAAAAATTCGAAACTCTATGGTCCTGATGTTGGTCAGCCTCGAGGAAAGACGGTTAAGATGCTGCAGAGGTAAGAACTAGAGAATGCAGGACTGGCTTTTTGTCTTCCTTCCCCTCCCCTCCCTCCCCCCT